GATATGTAATCTAATTGGCCCTGATCTAGCGTCTCGTCTGCAGTCACTCTCTCACAGACGCGCCGTCGCCTCTCTCTGTCTTTTCTACAAATACTTTCATGGTAACTGTTCTGACGAGCTGCTTTCACTGGTTCCCAGACTCCATGAATTCAAGCGCCCTACGAGGCTGGCATCCCGCTCCCACCCTTACACCGTAGAAACTTTCAAATGTAGCCGTCTCTTCTACTCCAATAGCTTCATACCTCGCACCTCTCGCCAGTGGAACACCCTCCCCAGTTACTGCTTCCTGAAGGCTATAATCTCCAACTATTCAAATGTAATGTCAATCGACATCTCCAGTTACCTTTATCTATCCACTATCCTTCTCCTCATCCTTTCTCCTATCTCTCCTATCTGCTCTCGCTCCAAATCTTCCGTAAGATATATATATATATATATATATATATATATATATATATATATATATATATATATATATATTTATAAAGAATCACCTTTCAGGTGTACACAAAACGAGCATTTCGCTCCCATTCATCATTGCAGGTACAAACCGCCTGACGATTGCTTAAAGGCATTAAACTTATAATAGTGGTCAGACTTATGATAGTGTGTACATTTTAGAGGTGATACATTCTTTACAAACGCTCTACCATTTTGTATGGTGCTGAGCACTTTTCTTTCTGGTGTACAGACCCTTTTTAAGAGTTGTTTATATATATATATATATATATATAAATATATTTCACACTTGGAAGTGTGGTCTGATAAGTCAGGGAAAAAGAAATTCGCTGGGGAAATAAATTATAACCAATGGACTCTTAAAGTTGTCTTCATTATATATATATATATATATATATATAAGAAACTGCCCTCCATAAACGCGTTATTCTCCGTTTCTTTACTGGGCGCTAGGTTTTGTTTGGCAAAGCATTAATCGTCAGTTATCTCATTAATATATATATATATATATATATATATATATATATATATATATATATATATATATATAGATAGATAGATAGATAGATAGATATAGTTATTTAGTCTCATCGATAGATGAAAGAATGGCCTCTACATTTGAATCCATAGATTTAATAGATTTGAAACGGATTTCTTCTCAGTTGTTGTTCAAATATGGCCATTATTGTTTCAAGAATACCCCTGCAAATCCCACGTAACCAAATTAAAATTTTGGTTGCAGTGATCCTTCAAAAGGGCCTAATCCTTGCTTGTCAAACGGGCTGTTATAATCATTTATGTTTATATCATCGGAAAACTGTGCTGACAGCTATTAATAAAAAGTGAGGGCTTCATGAAACAATTTATTCTGAAATAATTAAATCCCTAGTGAAAAACAGCTGCTTTATCCCTTATCAGTGTTGTAGGATAAAGCATTTATTGTTCCAGCGCTCAATGTAATTGCATCGCATTTGAGACTAGCGTCCTTCACGTCAAATCTTTCGTCGCCAATATTCGTTATTTCCCCGCCACAGCGTAATGACAAGTGACATGACACTCTTGTTAATTAAAAAAAAAACTTCCACAAAAGAGGCCTTATCATCTTGTCAGCTTTAATTAAGTCCTTCTGAATGTAACTATTAGACTCGAAAGTTTCTAACTTGCTTTCTGAAAACATCGTTATCAGAGACTTATTCAGTTAGCTATGAGCTCACACTCCAATTCTCATGCTAAATTGTGTATTCCATCTTAAAAGAACGATTACGTTTTTCATTCGATGAATGTTTTCAAACAGGTCTCTATATTTTAAAATTGTCGGAAAGTCTGATATAACCCGACAATGTTTGATAGTGAAAGATGTGATATTCTTAATGTTAAAAATTGTAAAATATGGCGCACACAATAATAAGTATGCCGCTTAAGTGCTGTTGTTATCAGAGAGTAAAATTATCTTTAGACTTTCAAACGTGTCAGTTGCTCGTCGTTGAAACGTTAGTACGTATTGAACTTTCTTATAGATTCTGTTTACACTGATATAGTGGACGCTGTACTGATTTCTGTTACAGTTTCATTTCTTGCGATTGTTGTAATAAATTCTCATTTATCATCAACTGTGAAAATCTTGTCCGAATTCACCATTTTGCTTTTGGTATATAGAACAAGAAGTCTGCTTCTTCTTTGTGGCGGTCGTCGTTTTTTTGTTTCTACTCTTACACCCCATTCTTCTTCTTCTTCTTCTTCTTCTTCTTCTTCTTCTTCAGCTGCTGCTGCTGCTGCTGCTGTTTCTTCTTTTTGTTGTTGTTGTTCTTCTTCTTCTGCTGCTGTTTTTTCTTCTACTGTTTCTTCTGCTTCTTATTCTTTTTCTTCTGCTGCTTTTGCTGTTTCTTCTTCTTCTTCTTCTGCTGCTGCTGCTTCTTCTGCTGCTGCTGCTGTTTCTTCTTCTACTGTTTCTTCTTCTTCTTCTTCTTCTGTTGCTGCTGTTTCTTCTTCTTTCTCTTCTTCTTCTGCTGCTGCTGTTTCTTCTTCTACTTCTTTTTCTTCTGCTGCTGCTGTTTCTTCTTCTACTACTTCTTTTTCTTCTGCTGCTGCTGCTGTTTCTTCTACTGTTTCTTCTTTTTCTTCTTCTTCTGCTGCTGTTCTTTCTTTTTCTTCTACTGTTTCTTCTTCTTCTTCTTCTTCTTCTTCTTCTTCTTCTTCTTCAAGCGAACCAATTGCCCGTCGTCCACATATAAGCACAGATGATTTTTTCAAGATTTTGTTTCAATTTCCTTTGTTTTGCCATTCTTGTAATAAACCCATTTATCATTATTAGTGAAAATATTTTCCAAAACAACTTTTTTGCTTTTGGTGTCTAGAACAGGAAGTCTTCTTGTTGTTATTCTCTGTACCTTGGGAAGGTGGACGAAAATTACTATCCACATGTCCCTATCATTTGTGACTATCAGCTACATTTTATTACATACCTTAATTTTCTAGTTGTTTTATACTTTATTCGCTATTTCTCTCTGTTCCATTTGCCTTCAATGTGTCAAATTCTACAAGCCATCTTTACTCATTACATGTCAAAAAATGTTCAACTGTAAAATTATGAAACCAAGCAGCCAATCGAGTACTGCGATTAAATTCATGAGGTTGATATACCAGAGAAAAAAACTAGTCAGAACAATTACAATGAGAATATTAATAGAAAAGGCACAGGAAATCTACGTTACGACGGTGGGAAATAGACTGAAGCCGCGATGCCAGATCAAGACGGATAACGTTACCGAAGCTTTCTTTGCATATTACCAAGAATCTGTTTATACATAGAAAAAGAACAGGTCAAGATTCCTAGCAGCAGACTTACCAACTTATTCAATATAATCTTTCAAATTTGTCATAAGTAAACATTAAACAAAGATAGTGCAGTGTGTTCTTCTCCTGGAGGTTGGCATAGTGTGCATTCTAGGAGGTAAATTATGTTATGACTTTTACAGTTAGAATCGTGGTAGATTTTGAAAGTAGAGTTAGTGACTGAGCTAGTGAATGAATTCGTGTGTTTAATACGGTTGCAGCATAAACTTCTTTTGTTGTTATATGTTTGGGAAAATCCTGTTGTTTTTGTTCTTAGTTTATTACGGATTACCTTGTCCCCTGAAATGTGGCTACTACCTATGATTTCTTTTAGGTTCTTAGGTCTACGATATGCAAGAAGGCCGGGTTCCTTAAACAATTTTTTAGGTCTGGTTTGAGATGTAGTATTTCCCAGCGACGTTTGATTATATAAGATAGTCTAAAAAAAGTTCTTTAAAATGATTAACAGATAACAGTTTCGATTTAGAGGTGTTAAAATTAACAAACCCCAGTTATCTATAGATTGTAGGTCATTTTCAAGATCAGCTGATAATTTTATTGAACCATCAATGCAGGGAGTAAATAGCTACCGCAAAGATACCGAATCACGACCTGATGACGTCTGTCTGTCCTGCTATGCAACCGATAGCTGGTGGACGAGATGGATTCATACCTTTTCCAAGAATATTTGCTCGTAAGAAAATGTAACGAAATCATTACACCACATCAAGTGCCTAATTATAAAATCGTTTATGGTCATTGTATATGTATGGATGAAATGCCTTCACTTATATGTTAGTATAAATAATCTTAGATAATAACATAATAGAATTTATGTTGAAGCTTGGATAAGCATGGAATAATAATAATACAACACAAAATGTACGTAAACAAAATGTATTGAAACAAGGAAAAGGTACACAATATTTACTGTTAGTTTTGGTATATTCTTGGGAAGACTGTTCCTGTAGAATGGGTTGACTTAATCGCAGTCGGGCAGAGTCTCTGGATTGCATCTCTTGTTACTTCCTCCCCTCGTCTTCCCGGTACCAACCCATATTTATATGGTCGGTACTCCACTATGTAAATTAGGTGGATCGTACCACAACAATTTATAAACCTGCAGTTTGAAGAAGTGACGAGACAAAGGGTTCTAGAATATACCAAAATTTCGTATTACCTCATAATATTTAGACATTCTTGATAAAAATGCAATGAATAATCCGCAATAATCCTGGCATCTTGACTTCAGTCAATTTCCTATTGATATAATCTTCCCTGTGCCTTTTCTATATACCTTTCACGGTTGTTTTACTCTATGGTAACTAGACTTTATGGATTTAAGAGCAGTACTAGATTGGCAAATAGGTCTCATTATTTTACAGTTGGAATGACCAGATGTTACCGGAAGTTCTATGCTAACAGTTTCTTCTATCTCATTTCTCTTCCAGCTTCATGCTTCCCAAGCAAGTTTGATCAATAGTTATTTTCTGTCTCTTTTGTTCTTGAATTTTGTCCTTCTCGTTAATCTTTTTCTTTTCTCTTATATTCTTACACACTCAGTAACACCCTACATTTTAATCTCTTTACAGCCTGTCTTGGGTTGAAACGATTAAAAACATAATTAACAAGACAGAAATATTCTGTTTTCTTTTAATACTTTGACCAGTTCTCTCTACACCAGAACCTTTTCACCTTTTCACTGTTTCCAATGCTCTTACGTCAGTAATCTTTTCTTAATGCCAACGAATCCAGTAAAGGTTGGGCTTAAAAACTGAAAGTTTCTTTACAGCATTTGTTAATACACAGCATCCCCTAGGTAGAAAGCTATTTGATAAGTAATCGCACTTTTGTGCTTTCGTTTGAGAGAATTCCTTTGAAAGTCCATCCAGAGTTCTCGCTTTCCGTTGCTTGGTAATGACGTACAGCGATTCGTCGTCTCCCACGGAGAAAATATCTTTCATCTTTTGTAAAAGGGATAAACAGCCGGATGATTAGCTGACATATCTGTTTCGGTCATTAGAGATTTTAGACTTAGATGATGACCCACGTTTGTTTCCTTTAGCCAGCCTAAACTAAGCCTGATAAATTAACGATGACATTAACACAGACACACAGACACAGACACACACACACACACACACACACACACACACACACATACACATACATACATACATACATATATATATATATATATATATATATTAAAGCAGGTGTGTTCCTTTTGTAATCTATTGAAATTTTCTCCGCCGTTCATTTATTCATTTGCTGGTTTCTCGGTTTGCGAAAACCCGGATGCCTTCTTTCCTTTCATCTTCTTTTCCGGTGTATAGATATTTAGGTTCTGTTTCCATTGTGGCCTCCTTTTTCGATTCTCCATTACGTCATTACAGCCATAAGACATATGTTACTTATCCATTCCAAAAATATATATATATATATATATATATATATATATATATATATATATATATAATTTTAATCAATTTACACACATATATTTATATACATACATCTATTAGTATATATATATATATATATATATATATATATATATATATATATATATAAATTTTTTAAAAAAAAAACAGATCACTTTATGAGTCTATTATAATAATTTATTTCACCAGAGTCCGTTTTAAAGACGCCGGATCATTTGGAAGTGCTATCTGATGATCCGGCGTCCTTTAAAGGGCTCTGGGTGAAATAAATTATTATAATGGTACCTTAAAGTGATCTTTTTTTTTTTAAATATTAGCTCTGGATTTACATTGAGCTCTCAGGATTTCATCCTCCTTGGGATTACCCATACGGATTACCAAGTTTTCCATAACTTATATATATATATATATATATATATATGTGTGTGTGTGTGTGTGTGTGAAAAGAGTATATAAATATAAATAAATATAAGTATGTATAATTATTTATATATTATATGCGCGGTACTTATTAGAAAGCGCTCAATGTCAGAGATAAAGCTAACATATTTGGTTGGATAGATGTGAGTTTGTGATCCTGGGTTTCACGCTTTAGCGATCGTCAATTTGTCTGACGATCGCTAAAGCCGTTTCCATAGTAACGAATGAACACGCTTATAACGATACGTAAATTTAAAAATTGATTATTCCTGAATTTTCGCTTGAGGAAGAAACAGGGCTTTTTACTTTAATTCAATTTAATTTTAATAATTATATTTTTGAAACATGAGAACTCTTATGTAGCGAAGGAGAAATAGGCAAAGTCCGACAATTATTTTAAGTCATTGTTGTTTAATACTGTTTATTATAAACAGAGTATTTACTTAAATATTTGTATCTATAAAAATAATGTATAAACATAAAAAGTCTCTCTCTCTCTCTCTCTCTCTCTCTCTCTCTCTCTCTCATATTTATATATATATATATATATATATATATATATATATATATATATATATTTTCCACCTATTTTATTGTACATTTCTCTGTTTTAATTTTGAATCTATATGGAATTATGTTGAAGAGCGGGGGCTGAAGATGGTTGCTTCCCCCGCCCTTGTTGTTGTGTGTTTTTTTTTATTATTTAATATTGTTTTAATATGTCTTGTAATATTAAATTTTATACTTTTATTTCGATCATTAAATTTTTGTACCTACAAAAATATCTTTAAATATATATATATATATATATATATATATATATATTTAAATATATATATATATATATATATATATATATATATATATATATAATTTCATCTCAGTCAAGGTAATAAATCCACTAAGACGCAAGGGGATACTGAGTGTTAGAGAATATGTGAAAAAAAGCATTAAGTAGAGAGAATAATAAAAGAACAGCAAATAAGAAGTTAACGACTTACTTTGCTTTTAAATTTTTCAAGATCAAAGTTGTCTGGAAAGCAAGAAACCCGAAAAGAGTTTCACAAGCGACAATACGAGAGAAAAAAAACCGTTAGCATACGACTTTAGTGTTTCATGTAGCCATTCCAACTGTAAAATGATGATACTTTGACGCCAATCTATTACCAGGCTTAAATGCATAAAATACAGGGGGTTTCAAAAAGAATACGCCAAAATCATTACGCTGTTTTTTCAGGTCTGTAGCATTGTAGTGGACTGAATCAGTGGTTATTTGATAGAGTACTTATCAAAGTTTGATTGAGTGTCGGTTTTACCGCTGTCGTTAGTATAACTTCCGGTGCAGCTGATTTGTGGGAAGACAAACCTATTTCGAAATGCTCCAAAACTGGCTATTCACTTTACTGCAAGCAGATTCGAATGACTTCATTTTTCAGCAAGATGGAGCACCACCCCATTGGCATCTCGGGGTTAGAGCTTATCTGAATGAAAACATACCTCAGCGATAGATTGGGAGGAGAGGTGCTAAAGACCTTGCTCTCTGTGCTTGGCCTGCCAGATCCCCGGACCTCACTGTGTGTGACCATTTTCTTGTGGGGGTATGTTAAAGACCAGG